GGGGGGGGGTTGTCGCTGGGCTGGGCGGGCTTGTAATCTCTGCCTGCGACTAGAGTGCCGAGGGCGGCCGGAGCTTGGCTTGCCTAGGGCAGCCAAATACATAAATACACCACTGGTCGTATTATATATCTAAGAAGCATTACAAATTATCTTTGTGACTGAACATTGCGCAGGAACATTCCTTCTGAATCTCTGCGTAAACACATGACCGAAGCTTTCCGTATTTGAGATCCATCACATAAAGGTATAACTATTACACTACCCTGGCTCCTTTATGTGAAGCCCCCTCCTCTGTATTATCCAGGGAGGAGACCTCTACAGCTATGATATATATTTTTTTTTAACAAAATCACTACTCTGATAGTTGACCCAGAAAATAGGGGTTGTAATCATACCTCTATGCCTTCTCCTCAAGAACCTTTATCTGACATTTCTGCAGCAGTGACAGCTTCTGTGCACTTAGCTGCAGATGCACTCTTTGAGGAAGAATCTCATGAATACATTCTGGACGTGTTTGTACCTGAGGAGCTTCTACCTGCTGATATGGCTCCCAGGCTCAAAGATACAGTATCTATACTTATTGACTCAGTGTGTACATGTTTAAAACTGGAGCAAATTGTGATTGAAACCACTGCTGTTTATGTTCCTTTAAAGGTTTTAAGACTGTAAAAATATACCCAATACACCCCTTATTTGAGCTTGTCTTGTACAGCCATTGGTCCTGATAAGTTATTCTCTTCTCACAATTCTCACTTCCTGATTCTCACAGTCAGCTCCCTGGTGACATGCCATTAGGCCTTGGACATGTGCTCCTAGTTAAAAGATATAGTGAATAAAGAAATAAGACAAAGGGAAAACAAATGTGAAAGGTTCACGTATACATATGACTATCACTGTCAATTTTCCGCCCTGTTCCCTGGCGCCGTAAGGCAAGTGCCCATGTTGCCTTGCGCTAGCGCCGGCCCTGCATACACAATAAATGTTATCTATAAAAGTTTCTATTTCACAAATAATCTTTCAGGCCAGCATTAGAGAGAGAGCTCCTCCCACAACCTGCAGGAAACACTCCCACCATAACGTTAAAGGAGCCTCCTCTCCATCCCAACTCAGCTTTAGCATTTCCTCCAGCACAACACGAGCTTATGAGGAGATACGCTCTGTTAGGCCGCGTTCACACCAGGGCAGTTCGGCCGCGCGGATCCGCCGACATAAACAATCTCATACATTGCTATGGGGACCGTTCATGCAACTGCGTGGCTCAGTGTGAACACTTACCCTTTTTGTTGCAGGAGGAGAGCGCTGTGTTTGTGGGTTTTTTTGGGGGGGGGAGGGGGCCCAAAAAAAATCTTGCACCAGGGC